GTTCTAAACAAAATAACACTAGAGAAATGACCTGGTACCGATTGGTTAATATGCATGCTTACCCTTAAATTTCTGCATGCATGCTTTATACTTTGAACGAGATTGCAAAAACTATATACCTTATACTCCCTCCGTCCGAAAATACTTGTCATCAAAATGGATAAAAAGAAATGTATCTAGAACTAAAATACGTCTAGATACATCCCCTTTTATCCATTTTGATGACAAGTATTTCTGGACGGAGGGAGTATTTGAAATGGAGGGAGTAGATAGTTCCGAAGTCTACCAACACATAGCATTGTGCAAAACTTTATCTGAAAATTTTGAATTGCATTTCTTGTCACCTTCGTTCGGTGAAATATAATATGCTAGCTGCAGCTTTTTAGCTATTAGATTACAAACTTTTTGCTGTATGTTTTTTCTTTGTGTGTTTTGCTGCTTACAACTCTACCTTAAAATTTATATTAGGTACGGCGCAATTTGGACCAAGCAAAGGCATTAATGGGGGCTCTAATTAAGGTTAGTTCATGCATAAACTGATCTTATAGCGGCAGCGTTACTGAATTTAACCTCTAACTGATAATATACACTCTTCAGAGGGAAGAGACAAAGCGGGAGGTCATGGAATGTGAGGTCAACCTTCAGCGCGTTCAGATGCAATATAAGGTATGGGCCATCATACATTTCGGTTCAGAATTCGCTTTTACATATACTCCCTCCGTTCCTAAATATAAGGCTTTTTAGAGACTCCAATACAGACTACATACGAAGCAAAAATGAGTTAATGTACACTCTAAAATGTGTCTATATACATCCGTATGTAGTCCGTATTGAAATCTCTAAAAGGTCTTATATTTAGAAACGGAGGGAGTAGCTTGTATACTTGTCTTCTATAGGAAACATAACACTCAAATGAAAATAAGAGGCCACCATTTGCATCACATGGTAGTGGTGAATGGGTTTAAATAGTTAAAATGCCACTGTGATGGAACCAAATACTACCCGCACTATATACTTGTGATTTAATTCTGCCCATTATGTAGCAGATAATATTGGGTAAATTAAATATATATTTCTACCTGATATTATGGTGCACTCTCATCCAGTAAAGGATTTATCATTAACTGATGTTACGACACAGTTTGTTTTGATGCTCTGGTCTGTTACCTTCCTTGCTCCAGTTTCATTTGATTCTTGTCACCCTCCTAATTTCTATCGTTCCCCTTTTCTCTCCTTCAGCATGAGGCCCAGCTTGTTGACGATGGGACTACACTGTCAGGGTTCCAGCAAGCTTCTAGCAGGTTTGGGTCAAGTGATGATGATTATGCGGATTCAGATGACACCGCAACTGAAGAGCCATATTTTCGGCAACCTGTTCTCCATCATCGGTATCCTGATAACAAGCAGTTGGCAATCCCTACATTGCGTATAAAGCGTGAGCCGGGGCTACCGGTGCTAAAAAGGAGGCCTCAGCAGAATGGCTGGGTATTTAAAAGGGTATTCCATCTTCCTATCACTGCCTCTTTTTTGTTATCAGCCACGTGAGTTGAGCAAACTGGTACCAAGCAATGGGATAGTTTTAAACCTATGATTTTTAGTTAAGTTTTATTTGAATGGTACTCCCTCCATTCCAAGATATGTGGCGTGAAACCACGACGTTTATTTTGGAACGGAGGGAGTATTTAGGAGGTAGGAGGACAAAATAAATAATGTTCAGTGAGTAACAAGTGTGAAACCCTTTTTTTGGGTACTTTATGATACTTCCAGCTTCAACAAATTTGTTGGATGATGAACTTTAGTGTTCTATTCTTTTTAGTCTCGTTCCTGATTCTATGTTGAATTATTTATAAACTTCAGCCACTTGCATGTATGAATCTGTAGAGTCACTAATTGTTCTGATAATTTATTTGTCAAGTCTGCTTACCAGTTCCACTGCAATAAAAAGGTTGTTTACCAGTTTTCCCGATTACACAGGATCCTGAGGAGCCAGTATTGTTATTCACAAGGCCGCTAGATCCTGACAAGTTGGTGGCAGCGGGTATCAAGTTGCCACCAGACCCCCCTATTGAGATTGATGCCACCGTGCCACCATTTCGGTGCCGAGGGAGAATTGGCCGAGGTGGACGCATCATCTTTGATCGATGGAATCCTCTTCTCCGAACACCAACATCAATTGGCCAGGAAACCGCCCATTTCACACCATATGGCCGTAGGCCGCCCTCACCGGAAGGTTGAAGCAAATATTCGTCTGCACTCACCACTTATTTGACAGATGCAGCTAGTGCGAAGCGCTCAAGCAATTGTTTCTGCCTTGGTGCCAAATTGGCCCTAGGACTACATTCTCATGGCTGAGTTATGAGCTCTGTGGATCTGATGAGCAGGTCAGAAAGCTCGTGGAAAAGCTGCAGGCTCAGTCAAAATCGAGAGGTTTGAAGCTCTGTTGCGGCTTACATTTTATTTTCAGATCTGGCTCGGTCATCATCTGTCACAGCTGTTGTAAAATTACTACAGTGTAGGTGAAGGGGTAGAGAGCATTTTTGTCTAATCTTGGGCATGTAGGGTCGGTATCTAGTTTGGTGCTCTCATTGATTATTCATTTGGAGAAGTGGCGATCCTTCTCATTGCTAAATTAACGTTCTGTATAATCTTTTGACACTCTGGTGCATTGTATTAACCGATGTGCACGCGTGTATATACTGAGAATCTATGCCCATGGGCAATGGCACTAGGTTAGGTAGAAGTAGAAGATGGAAATGGAATAGGTGTAGAACAATGTTGCTTGATCTGTCATTAAAGTGATTGTATCTGCTTTTGTTCCAAAATTTCATACGCATAAAAAGGTTACAAGCCTGAAGCTGTTCTTCATGAAAAGGTTTCCCCCCCTTCTATTTCACCTGGATTGTGTCCGTGGATGTTTAAGATAATAATATTCTTCAGCATAGACACTGATCTGAGAAAACAGAGGAGTCACGTTACATGCGTTCACATGACTGAACTCTGTTTCAAGTTGCAAGGGCAAATTTGCTCTATAAGTTGATGTTTTGTTAAGACTATGAAGTACTGAAGGTGGGTGGAAGTACATGCCTGGTGGGTAGTCTTTGTGCTGACGAACTGTGCAACTCTTGGCCAGTCCTCACCAAACCTGTACGATGTAATTGCCACCAAAAACCCATGGACGTTGTGTTAGCTCTGTTTGGGCACTCGAAGCACAGAAAATGTATCAAGTTACAAAAGGTTCACTGCACAATCTTGTTCCTCCACAAAAGTGAAGGTGCAATCTGCATCTCTATGAACGAGCATTTGAGTATCTGTATCGTATTCGGTATACCTTCCTAGGGCAATCTTGAAGTTCACGCTTTCCCTGATGCTCCAGCGTTCTTGCGGAGGCCTTGCGGTGGTACGCAGCAGCTCCATAAGATGCTTCCTCTGAACTTTCTTCCTCATCGATGGCGATGAGCGTTGTTTCCCCATTGTCGCACCTTGATTGTTGCGAGCACAGCGATCTTCGTCTCAAGGGCACATACCCCTACTACTGCATATATAGCGGCTGCAGCTGAGGGCAGAAAAGAACGAGTTAGTGTCACACAAAAGGTTAGGTTACCAGGCAAAAAATCGAAGCAGCATAAGCTGACTGAAAGGTAGACAGCTGAATTCTGCATGCTGGTGTCACATGTAGTTTGTGATCAGTTGATTTCATGCCAAAACGATTGTTGTTCTGCTTTAGCTGGATAGGAAAAACACACCGGCTTCATACAAATACAGTGACCAAACTCGGCAATCCAATCGATTATTATCTTTCCTTTAGATATGAATATCAATGAAATGCAAGTGTTCCGGCCAGAAGTTGAATCTTGAAGCACGAAGATCAATACGAGCGTCTAAATTGTAAGACTATTAAGTAGCTTAACCTAGAGGTTTTTTAGAGATGATCTTCCGAAAAAATACACCTTATTGATATGAGTAGTCTATATCAATAAAAATTAATCAACCCTATTTAACTAGAAACCCCCTTCAAAGGATCTGACACCCTCGGCGGCCCAAAAGAAGCGTTCTCTCTTAGCACACGTCCATGTATCCAGTGCCGACACATGTGCCATGCGGTGCGCCTCGATGGGCCACACGTGCCATGCGCCACATGTACATACCCTACCTGCACATGTCCATGTAACTGTGAGGGTTGGCTTTGATACCATTTTATGACACACCGGCCTCTCACCCAGGCTAGCGGTCATTACTCATGGCTATCACTTGTGATCTAGACTCGCCTGATTTCTATCACACATTTTTATTCTTGTAGACTTTGTTTGTCTTTCAAGCACATAAGATTGTAGGACATCAACATTTTCCCTCGTACCAATCCGTCGGTTGAAAATATTCTCTCTCAAACAACCTTGCAATCAAGATACATACTTTCTTGTCAACACACCTAATGCAATTATTATATGTATAGCCGTATAGGTGACGCTATCCTACCTTATCGATTTAGGCTTCGAACCAAATGTTGTGATCATGCTGCAAGTTTTTGTGTGGTGCTACAAGCATCGCCTTCCATGTTGCATACATTTGATGATTTTGTTAAGACAAATGACAAAATGTTACATGCTAGAATTTTTTCTCCAAGGATTGACATACTCGGGATTACGATATTAAATCGGATCAGATCACCAGGGAGCAACTGATTTCTGCGCTACAATCAACACACCGCTGATGATTCGGGGCGGATTTGTTTCATGATTTTTTGGTATCTGATTACAACGGTACCTGATCCCGCTACTCGTGTTTGGTTGAGATGTGACAAAATTAAGTACCAAGAATCAAATAATAGGGCTTTACAAAACCAGTTACACCCACCCATGGCCGTTAAATGATTCCGTCCCGAGCTTCTTCTCGCTTTCGTCCCCCCTCATCTCCTTCGTAGCTATGTTGACCGGACACAACATTCATCCGTCGAGCATCAACAGATGCTGACGGCGGGCCATCACCAGATTTCGTGTTGCAACATCTTCCTCGTGGCATCCGACAACGACTGGCTATCAACAGTTCTACTTGCTCCACACGTTGCTCCCATCAATGACCCCTTCAATCGTTAGACCTTCTCTCGGCTCTTTGGTATCCATGATCGACGAATTCGTATCAGGAGAATCATGCAACGCCACCCCTAGTTGTAGTATGTTTTCTAATATCTTTGGATTGGTTGCCTTGTTTACGTTACCATTATCGGAGATAACCAAACAAAACGGGCAATAGTCTCACTACAGTTGCAATGTTGTGTATTCTCATACCGTTATCATCTACGTTAACGGTGCAATGCGGTGCATTCTCATATTGTTACCATCTACGTTAATGATGCACGAGCCACGAACTAAGTATAACTCAGATAGTTAGGTTCCATGTGGTGGAACCAACGCACCGAGGTTCAAGTCCTAAATTTGAAATTGGCGGTCGCATTATTTTTGAATTTATTTCAGGCCTTTTGATGATGCACATTTAGTGAGAGGAGATGTTCTCGTCGATTATGTCGCCGTCCGTGGCGACATCGTCAATGTCAAGATGATGTGCCAGCTCAGTCTATCAAATGTGTTTATAGAGGTGTGCGCACATTCATATGGATGAATATATATGCGTATGTACGGGTGTTGCGTGTTAAAAAAGGTGGGCGAACCAAACACTTCCTCCCATGCAAACAAAAGAACCAAACACTTCCTCAAAGTAAAGTGCTAATAAACGAAAAGAAAAATAGCTGATATAAATAAAATCAAGAAAAATAGTCAATATAGATTGAAAAGATACGACGTCAGCTGGAACCCTTCTGTTTGTTCTCAAGAATGTCAGCGGCTCAGATAACCCAACCGCTCAAACCCTTAAACCCTTCTTGGACGACAAGTTGATCCCACGAACGTCTCCTCAAAAGACACAAATACCCCTGCCACCCCACCCCTGTCTCGGGATGTATTCACAGGGTATAGCGGTCATTCGCTTCGATCCCTAGGCGCTCTTCCCTTCCCCGCTGGCCGCAATTCCCTTCCAGACGTTTCGATCCCTCTCTGGCTCTCTCCTCCCCCCTGCCCCCTCCTCGGCGCCCGCCTCGCGAATCCGTCGGAAACCCCTCGCCGCTCCCGGTTCTAGCGCAGCGCAGAGATGGTAGCCGCGCGCCTCCTCGCGCGGGCCACGAGGCAATGCGCCGCCGCGGTGGTGGCGTCCGCTACTAGGCGGCCGCTCGGCGGCGTGGCGGCGGTGGCCGCTCGCCCGCTCGCCTCTTCCTTCGGCCCCGCCAGGGTGAGATTTTCTCGGCCGTTTCTACGGCCGGTTTGAGCTTCGATGTTCTTCTAGTGTGTTGGGTCGCATCTCGTAGGGGATTTCTGGAATTTTTAGGATGCGGAGGATAGGCATCCAGGCTCGGTGTTTCCGGCTGCAGATTATTCTTCGTCCGTGGTTTCTGGTCGGGGGGAATTCAGGGATTTATTCCTAGTGATGGTTGGCGGAGGTGTGGGTTTTGCTCCAAAGCGAGGTTGGGTTTTGGATTCGTCATAAGATCATGCTAAGTCTAGGTTTTGGCGGAGTGTTGGGATTTTGGATATGATAGTCTATGAGTTATGTTTCCGAGTGTTGGACCATAAAACCCTTGGATGTTGTCAGAATTGTTATTTGAATATAGAGTTGGGGATTTTCCTGCAAGGGACCTAACTTCTACTATTAGAATGCGCATTTTTTTTGGGAAATATATAGATTCCAGAATCCCAGTTATCATGTACTTGTACTTATGTCTGCAGTAGTATGATGTGCTTCCTTGTCAGAACATGATCTGAATATTGTGTCAATTAACTCTGGTTTGTGCATTGTTAGAAATTAATATGGCCTACAACTAATTTGAGTCCATAATTCACCAAAGGTAATAAATGGATTATCATGTCTAACAGGATGAAATAATGATTGCACGCCAGTAAATTTTGCACATGCTAGATAGTCTGAAACAAAGCCAAAGAATGAATCCATCATATCTTGGGTTATTGGGTTGTATATGTTTATGCTATCGACTACTTGTTGCAAGATGGGAATAAGAAACTAGGCTGATGTAAACATGCAGCAGCCACCACAAACAAATTTAACCTGCTCTGCTCTCAAGCATCTGCCAGAGATCTCTCAGCATTTCGCTATGTATACTGCGGTCTTATATCTTGGTAGAGCATCTTTCAGGCTGCTCACTCTGTGACCTTCACTGCAGCCTGGTTTCTCCTCCCCATCTCATTATGAATGATCAAAATCCTTTTTTCTTACAGCTAGTCGAAATCCTAATCTTTATACTACATATGCTGTGATGGTTTTGTTCTCAGAATTCATGTTGGACTATGTACATATGTACTCCCTCCGTTTCTAAATATAAGTCTTTGGAGAGATTCCACTATGAACCACATACGGATGTATGTAGATGCATTCTAGAGTGTAGATTCACTCATTTTGCTCCGTAGGTAGTCCATAGTGAAATCTCTACAAAGACTTATATTTAGGGACGGAGGGAGTATAATTTATTAATCCACTTTCACTTTCTGATGTCTTATTCCACATAGTACTAACATCTATCATATTGACTCCTAAACTGTCTGTAGGCACATGATCTCTTTGTTACTTTCACTTAATGGGAGACTATTAATTTGGTTTAGATAACGCCTGAATTATCAATAGTAATCTTCTGTCTTTGGGCTGTTTCTGTTTCTACTACTTTTTTTACTTATATGAGCTGTATGCTCTCTGACAAGCAGGTTCCATATATGTTGAATCAGCCCTTGAGATACTCAAGCAACATCTTTCAAAGGTTTGGCTTTTCATCTTCTACTCCTCAACAAAATGATAAGGAGGTACACGAACCCAAAGACCAGGAAAGTACTGCACATGAATCGAATGGTGAAGCTTCAAAGGAAGACAGTGGTTCGCCTGGAAGTAGGTTTGAAAGACTTAAGTCCCCAGTCTATCAGGAGGTGATGAACTAAATGACCTGCATTTTCTGATTCAGGTACAGAAGATCTTGATCTGTCAAAGGAGGATCTAGTGAAGCTAGTTTTTGAGAAGGATGAATTATTAACCTCGAAAGATGAAGAGATCAAAGATATGAAGGACAAGGTTTTGCGCAGCTATGCAGAAATGGAAAATGTCATTGCCCGGACAAAGCGTGAATCTGAAAATTCAAAAAAATATGCAGTACAGGTGTGATGTTGTTACATCTGATTTCTGGTTTGAAATTTTGATGGCATAGTGATATTTATAAGCATTTTGATTAGCTATTTTGAATTTGCTATTTCTTATAGCGTCTAAATCGTGTATGCAGAACTTCTCTAAGAGCTTGTTAGATGTTGCTGACAATTTGGCTAGAGCTTCATCTGTTGTAAAGGAAAGCTTCTCAAAATTAGATACATCCGAAGATTCTAGTGGAGCTGTACCGTTACTAAAAACCCTACTGGAGGGTGTTGACATGACTG